AGCAAATGCCTTTTGAATATTAATCCTGCATTTTGCAACCTATTAGCTATTCCAGAAGTTTTTTCCTGGTTCTCAGATTTTCTACATAGATAATCATGTCATCTGAACAGTTTTATTTCTTCCTTCCTAACATGTACAGTTACTGTTTCCTTGCCTTGCTTTATTGCATTAGTAGGATTTCCAGTACAATGTTTAAATAGAGTGGTAAGAGTGGGCATCCTTGCCTACTTCATGATCTTAGAGGAAAAGCTTCTAGTTTCTCACCGTTAAAGTATGATGTTAGCTATAGGTTTTCAGTATTTTTTAAATCAAGGTAAAGAATATCTCCTTCTATTCTTAATTTAATGAGATTTTTTAAAGAAACCATGCATGGATGTTGAATTTTGTCAAAAGCCTTTTATTCATCTATTGATAGAAAGATTTTTTTAGATTTTTTAAGACTACCAATGTAATGGATTAATGTTGATTATCTTCAAATGTTGAACCAATCTTGCACATCTGAATAAATCCCACATGGTCACATGTGTAATACTTTTTTATACATTATTTAATTCAATTTGCTAATATTTTGTTGAGTATTTTTGCATCTATGTTCATTAGAGATACTCATCTATAGATATTGGTGTTACAATGTTTTTTTCAGATTTTTATAGTATTAATTCTGGCCTTTTAGAATGAATTGGGAAGTATTGTCATTGCTTCAAGCTTCTAGAAAAGATTATAGAAACGTGATATAATTGCATCCTTAAATGTCTGGTGGAATGAACTAACAAAACCATTTGAGCCTGGAACTTTCTGTTTTGGAAGGTTCTTAATTGTTGACCCAATTTCTTTGATACATATCTATTAGGATGCCTATTTCTTCTTGTGTAAGTTTTAGAATATTGTGCCTTTCAAGGAATTGGTCAACTTCAGCTAGGTTATCAAATTTGTATTGTTCATAGTTTTTATCATCTTTTAATGCCCATGGGATCTGCAGTGATGTCCACCCTTTCATTTCTGTTATAATTTGTGTATTCTCTATTTTGTCTTAGCCTGGCTAGAAACTTATAAATTCTACTGACATCTTCAAAGAACCAGTTTTTGGTTTCATTAACTTTTCATAGTGCTTCCATGTTTTTAATTTCATTTACTTCTGTCCAATTTTTTGTATTCTTTTTCTTTTTATTACTTTGAATTTAATCTGTTTTTCTTTTCTAGCTTCCTAAGTAGATGTTTAGTTTATTAATTTCAGATATTTTTCTGTAATATAGGCATTGAATGCTATAAATTTCCCTCTATGCCCTGCTTTTGCTGCATCTTATAAATCTTGATTAAGTTGTATTTTCATTTAAAAGTATTTTGAAATTTCTACTCTAATCTAGTGTTATCTTGAAGTATGTTGTTTAATATCAAAGTATTTGAGGAATTCCAAATCTCTTTCTGTTGTTGATTTCTGGTTTAAATCCATTCTTATGTAAAGGCAAATACTTATGATTTTTATTTTAAAAATTTTGTTAATGTGTGCTTTATGGCTCAGAATATGGCCCATCTGGCTCAATGTTCTATGTTAGCTTGAGCAGTTTTTGTATTCTGATGTTGTTGGGTTAAGTTATAGATGTCAATTGCATCCAAGTGACTGATACGATGTAATTATATCTTTACTCAATTTCTGCCTGCTGGGTCTGTTCATTTCTGATAGAAGGATGATGATGTTTTTAACTAGAAAAGTAGATTAATCTATTTCTCCTTATAGTTTTATCAGTTTTTTATTTATGTATTTTGGTGCTCTTTTGTTATGAACATTTACATTGAAGACTGCCATGTGTTTTTGAAAAATTAATACTTTTCTCATGATATAATGCTCCTCTACTCTATCCCTGATAATTATCATTGTTCACAAGTCTGTTCTTTTTGAAGTTAATATAGCACTTCATCTTTATTTGTATTAGTTTTAGAATAATATACCTTTTTCCATCCCTATTCTTTTTAAAATTATTTAAATTTTTTTGTAGTTGTAGATGTATAAATAAATAAATATCTTTATTTCACTTATTTATTTTTATGTGATGCTGAGGACCTAATCCAGGGCCTCACATGTGCTAAGCAAGCACTCTGCCACTGAGCTACAACCCCAGCCCTTCCATCCTTATTCTTAATCAGTATGTATTTTGTAAACAACATTCACTTGGGTCTTATTTTTTTAATATTTATTTTTTAGTTGTAGTTGGACACAATACCTTTATTTTATTTTTTATTTATTTTTATTTGGTGCTGAGGATTGAACCCAGGCCTCGCATGTGCTAGGCAAGCGTGCTATTGCTGAGCCACAACCCTAGCCCTTGGGTCTTAGTTTTTGATCCCATCTGACAATGTCTATATGTTACCTAGTGTATTTGGATCACTGGCATTTAAAGTGTTTATTGATATAATCGTATTAATATCTAACATATTTGTGTTTGCTATTCACTGCCATGTTCTTTGTTCTTAATTTTGTCTTCTACTCTTTTTTTATATTTGGTTACAATTGAGGATTTTATATAATTCTATTTTTCTTAGCATATCAATTATACTTCTTTTTTATTTTTTTAAAAAAATATGGTTGCCCTATAGTTTGCAATACACATTTACAACTAATCCAAATTAATGTTCAAATAACACTATTAAAGCAATACACAAGAGGTAAACACAAATTGTATGAGGCTGCTGCTAGTATAGATTAGCATATTATTTTACAGCAAACATTTTTTACAAGTAGAAGAAATACACTCTAAAATAATGATAAAATATAGTATATACATAAACCAGTAACATAGTCATTTGTTTTTAAATAGCCATTCAATGATTCCATCCCATACATGAGTGTGTGTTCTGTACTTTTATATGACTGGCAGTGCAGTAGCTTGGTTAACACCAGCATCACCATAAGAACAGGAATAGTGCATTACACTATAAAGATATGGCTACAGTGTCACTACTTGGCAGGAACTTTTTAGCTCCATTATAATCTTATAGGACCATTATCCTTACAAATAGAACCAGAAACTGAAAGTCTCTGCAATATTATTTTTAGATCCTAAACTTCCAATCCTTCCATTTTCAAAAGACTCATAATATAAGATTTTAATGGGGAAATTAAGCCCTGAAAATCATGGTTGTTTGTAAACAAAGCTTTTACTTAATTTATATAAAGGAAAACAACTACATGAAAATATATTGTACTTTCATTGAAAGTAACTTTTTTGAAAAAAGATACAAAAAGGAATGGTATCCTAAAAATCCTGCCCTAGAATCTCCATTTCTTTGTCACTAGGCAAGCCACCTCTTAAGCAAGTTATATAAACATGTGATTAAATGTAATGAGACTGATTTTTGTGTGTGGTTGAGTGTTTAGATTTCTTACTTAAAGAGACAAGTGATTTAACTGTCATTTGTACAGAAACTGAAGTGTTACTCCTTTTATTATTCAAAGTATATGCTATTTTAGGTTTTTATTTTTTTTGGTTGTTTAATTCTACTAATACATAGATGTATATTACTTATTCCATGAAGAGACAGAGTGGGATTCCTAAAAGTGACATGTTCGAAGCACATTCAGAGATTGAGATTCTATACTTTGTGTATGAAGGAGCCATTATGAACCTAGGATGTCTATAGGTGTGCATGTGAGAGAGAAAAAGGAGAGAGACAAAGAGTGAGTGAGAAAGGTTTTGGAAAAATTGGCTAGGACTATAGTTCAGTGGCAGAGCGCTTGCCCATCATGGGTGAGGCACTGGGTTTGAGGCTTAGCACCATGTGAAAATAAAACAAATAAAATAAAGGCATGCTGTCCACTTACAACTACAAAAATAATTTTTTAAAAAAGAGTACAAGACTATGCACTCCCAAAATAGAAACATGGAAGCTATGACAAATCTCCTTTTTCTATAATGTTTCTAAAACTACAAAATCAAAAATGAAAGAACAGAGGGGAAACAAATTATAGAACTAGTTTCAAGTTTCAATGTCGGTTTTCTATAACTCTCCAATTAGTTCCTGAGTAGCTTGCAGCCTAACCTTCAGGAAATTACCTTGGGTGATCAATACATTTTCCTTTCCCCCACAAGTCCTGGCCCTTTTCTCTGCTCTATTAGAAAATGCCCACTAAATACACAGGGTCATGGGAACATGCATGTAAGATCAATGTGCAGAAAGTATATTCACCAGAGTCCAATAATTTATGCTGGCAGATGAAGACTTTCCAAGTTCAGAGAAAAGCTTGGTTCAGTGCTTCCAAAACACTGATGTTATTTTAAAAAGCAATGTTTACTAATGAAGAAAAAAAATGAAAAAAATTTTCTTTCAAAAGCTTAAAAGTTAGCACGAAGTAAATAAGAAAATAAAAATAGAAAACTTCAATTACTTATACATCATCATATTTTAAATTTAATTCTCTCTAAACTCTGTTAATCCTCTTTATAAATACTTGGTGAATATGAGAAGCTTTAAAATTTTAGGAGGAGGCGTGAACATACTCTATATACAAAGATATGAAAAACTGTACTCTATATGTGTAATAAGAACTGTAATGCATTCCACTGTCGTGTATTTAAAAAAAATAAAATCAATAAAACTAAAAAAACAATTTAGGAGGAAAGCAACTTTTATACAATTCTGCAAGGTAGCACCATTTTAAACTTTGGGGCCTAATTTTAATAAGAACCTTAAAATTGCCAGGAGTATGATATTATTTTTAGCTAACAAGATTAAATATCAAAAGCAGATCTTTAGTCAATGTTGCTTCTATTCACAAAAATTTAATACAAAAGCATGGAAATATTAAAATATAAATCTGTTAAGCAATATTTGGTTTTTAGTTTTGAAATATTCAAAGAACATTTTCTCTTTGTCTACATGTTGCTTGTAACAGAGCTAAACATCAAAAATATACAGATTAAGCAGTGGCTTTATTGTTGCATGTTTTATTATTTATCACATACATTTCTCATTTTCTCCCCACTTACATTTCTTATTGCACATACCATTTGTAATTATTTTATTCACTATTCCTTGTGGAGGACAAGAAATATGTGACTGTTTATTCGTCTGTGGTACCATTTCCTGTGTTTCTGACAGGGTTCCCTTAGCTTGGTCATATGTGCTACTCTTAGGATCGTTGAGGATCTGAAGTAAAACAAGGAAATCTTTAAAGAACTATACTTTCAATACAATTTTATGAAAGCACTAAACCACCACATCTCATAATTAAATTAATATTACTACTGCTAATACACATATACATGTATGCTCTATATCAATAGGTATTTGGGGATGTCACAGCAGTGCATTTTGCAAGGCACCATGATTTACACTTTAATAGACTCAAGTCCCCACCATTTTCACTTACCATTTATATATGCTGAACAAGTGAGCCTGTAATGTGGGCAAGATAATTAAAAGTATCCATCTTCCATCTACCTCCCTGAGATTATATAACAAAACTTTTCTGAAACAAAATACAACTTATTGGAAAAGAGGTGATCTATAATTTTGTAATTTTTGGAATCATTTGAAAAATTATATAACTGAAAGAAAAATTAGAACAGTATAGGTCAAGTCTTCACAAATTTAGGCACACTCCTACTAATATTTATAGATAACATAGATAGTTCATGCCTATACCCATACCTCAATCTCCCAGGCCTTTGAATGATATTCTAATCATGAAATTGCTGATTTACACAAAAGAAATGTTTGGTTTATGAGAATATTAAGTGGCTTTTCCTATTGTTTAAAAAAATAAACACAGCAACAACTATAAACCCAGAGCAGAATTAACAATTAACTCTGAACAGAGATCTTCAAACTTCCCTTTATTATTGTCATGAGGGATGTACATGTGCATACAAACACTTTCACTTTGAGTGTATTCCTATTATTTTCAGTACAGTGGGAAAGAGAACATCACATTGTTGCAGGAAATATAACAAAGGCTAGAGAGTAAGAAAATATTCAGAAAAGGGAAGGTTAACATCAATGACTAGAGAGACAGAGATATTACAGTATCTGATGGTTAAACATGAATTGTGTAGTTCAATGATTAAAATTCTCAAACCTAATGAGCAACCTACTGGTGTTCTGATGTAGAAGCTTTTTCTAGATGTTTTTCCATGGTATAAAAAGGTTAAACAAACAATGATGAATTTGTATTAGGGTTGTAAAAAAACAGATACAGTGAGATCATAGTTTTCTTATTTGAGAATTTACAATAACTTGATATCAAAATGAATTAGAAAGGAGAAAAAAATGAATGTTTAAAATATTTCAAAGCACTTTTTTCCTTTAAGAACTGTAGAAATTTATATTTCAAAAATAATGTAATTATAATTATAAGCAATTATTATTTAGTAAATAGACCAACAAAAGGCCTAATGATCTACTCTATACACTTGCAAAATAAAAAAAAAAACTTGCATATCTTAAAAATACACAGCACATACTTACATACTTACCTTTGCAACTACTAGTTTAAATTGCTGAATTTTTCCTGGACATGGCAAGAAATAACAAGGCATATTACCTTTATTCCTAAAATCTACCTCATTAAGCTCCAAAATACTCTGTACTAATACTTTTTTATGTTTCTTTCTGATCAATTCATAGGACTTGTTAAACTATTTCAAAACTATCTCTTCTCATTTTTTTTAGCCAGACACATAGGAGAAATCTAATAATAAATTTTATAAAGAAAATTTAAGATCAGATAGATATTTCATATATTAAAATGTAGCTTTAAGTTTTTACCTGATCAGATCTCTTCTCCAAATGTTCATTTTTTGAATTTGTGGTGTGCATGCTAGAATTTAAAAGAAATAATAATTTGAACAAGTGAGCCTGTAATGTGGGCAAGATAATTAAAAGTATCTTGGGACTATAAATCCATATGAAAACAAACATGATTAAGTGACATTAATTTTTTAATTATTTTTAATCATAAAGTTGTATCATAATGAAGTCAGATAACCTTTATATGACTTTATCTGAATATTTGCTTTTAAAATTATTAATCAAAACCATGTGAATAAGTCCTAAAAACCATTTTCATATAGAATTTAATACTTCTCTCTAGTTTATAATATTTAAAAATCACATGTAAGAAAATTCAGTTCTTTATTTCACAAACTCAACAAGTATGTTTGAGATCATTTTCACCCATTGATTTACTCTATCTTTAGTTATAAACCTGCATGAGACTCCAAGAAACTTTAAAATGAAATATGGAAGATGGCCAACTAGAGGTACTGGACATGCTTTCTTTCTGAAAAGAAGGATCAAAAGCAAAGAATAAAAGTTTGCTATTCAACTAGAATACATGGGGGAGAGCACTGGAAAGCAGTGTTAGTGAAACAGAGAAGCAGTAGAACACAGAGGCTCAAGATAACGTTTTAAAAAAAGGAACAAGCTATCTTGCATCAATTGCCCTGTCACCCAGTCTGGACTAGCTTTAAACTGAGAAAGTCCTCCTATTGTGATAGATATTTTTTTGGAGCACAGGAAAAGATAACATGACACCATCAGTATCAATGTGAACCTTCTACAACTCAGTTATATCATTGTTGCTACTCTGTAGTATAAAAATAAAATGCCTAACCAGAAATATGAATTAACTCATATGGGAAACAAAGAACTAGTATTTAAAAGGAAACTAACAAGAGAATATAACTATGCCTCCCTACACTAAATGCTCAGCCTTTGGATAAGAATCTGCTAAGCCAATGTTGGCAAAAATAAAACACTGCTTCCTGCTGAATGCCCTGGAGTCCAGTGTCTCTGTGAGAGAATCCTGCCAACACTAGTAAAATAAAAGGGTAAATGGCAGGCCCCCAACAACCTTCATTGACACCATTAACACCTGATGTTTTTGATTTTGGGGAATTCTGTAGCACTCATGGACTTTGAAACTGGTTTGGGGAGTTGTCATGGAGTGCGCATCATTGCACCACTCCAGAGAGGGAACTTAATTCATGTCATACTTTCCCCCACACAGATTGTTGTTGCACAGTGCCATTTTGAGATCAAATCCACTTATTCTAAGCTACATCCACTGTGCATGCCATGCCATATCAACTGGAATGTCTCCACAACCACATTGCCTAAGGAGACTTAAGGAACCCCCTTCCTATGCTGAGCACATGCACCTACTAGAGTAGAACTTCCCCCATGCAGCCCCAAAATCTGATGGAAGCTGCACCCCGGCTATTGCACCAACCATGCCTTGCTTACCTGGGCCAGCCAGAGGAGCCCAGCCCACTTATAGACCTGTAGAAACTGGGAGGCATCTCACATGAGCTGCCCCAGAGTGATATGCAAAACTCACCACCACAGGCATTGTCAACATTGATTACAACTGAAGAAGCTACATAATGACTACATTTCTGTGGCCTAAAAGAACCAAAGCTAATGTATCCCACCCAACCAGTACCTTATCTTTAGGAGAAATTCTACTTATGGAAGCCACTCAATAAAATTGAATAGAGCAAAAAGTTATCTGATGTGCAAATATCATCACAGAGACACAAGAAGCATGAAAAAGGAAGGTAATGTGACATCTCCAAAGGGACATAGTAATTTCCCAAAGAAAATGAAATTGATGAGATACCTGAAAAAGAATGCAAAATAATAATTCTAAGTAAACCCAGTGAGATAAAAGAGAATACAGACTGATAAACCAACATAAATTAAGAAAATAAAGAAAACAACATAAAGACAGAGATCATAAAAAAGAACCAAGTGAAATATTAGAACGGAAGAACTTAATAAGTAAAATTTTAAAAACATGGTTTTTAAACAACTGATCAGGTCAAGCAAAAGAAAAAATTTCTGAATTTGACAGGTCCTTTGAAATAACTGTCAGCCAAAACAACAAAAACAAACAAACCACAACAACACCCTATACCACTAATAAACAAATATTTGCATTATGGATGTATCAGAAGGGGAAGGGAAGAAGAAAAGTGTAGAAAACAATTCAGTGAGATAATAGCTAAAATAAATCTTGAGAAAATTACAGACATCCAGATCCAGAAGATTCAAAGGACTCCAAATAGATTTGACCAGGCCCTCTCAAATGCAAAAATCAAAACAAACAATTCTCAAAACAGCAAGAGAAAAAAAGCACTAAGTCACACTTAAGGAAGAGCTCATTAGATAAACAACAGTTTTCTCAGAAGAAATCTTATAGGCCAAAAGGGAATGGGATGATATAGTCAAATCCTGAAAGAGAAAAACTGCCAATCAAGAATTCTATATCCAATGAAGCTGTTCTTCAGAAATAAAGTCTTTCCAAAACAAACAAAAATTAGGATGTTCACCACCACCAGATTGGCCTTACAAAAAATGTCTTAAGAGAATTCTATATTAAGAAATACAAAGATATCTACTATCATGAAAATACAAAACTATAAAACTCATTAGTACAGCAGATACACAAAAGAGAAAACAAAACTTATCAACACAGAAAACCACCAAACAACAAACAACAGGAGGGGAAGAAAGGAACACAGGATATACAAAACAACTTCAAAAAAATGAACAAAATTTTAAGAGTATGTCTTTACCTACCAATAAAAATCTTGAATATAAATGGATTAAATTATTTTTTCTTTCTATATTCTGTATTGATGTATTTTAGTTGTACATAGTGATGAGATCCATTGTTACACATTCATATACATACACAATATAATTTGGCCAATACTAAATTCTTCAAGTAAAAAAATTTAGACTGAATGAATAGATTGAAAAATAAAAACAAGACCTTGAGCTGGTGTGGCACATGCCTGTAATGCCAGTGACTCAGGAGGCTGAGGCAGTGAGATCTCAAATTCAAGTTCAGTCTCAGCAACTTAATGAGACCCTGTCTCAAAATAAAAAATGAAAAGGAGTGGGGATGTAGCTCAGTAGCCCTGGGGTTCAATCCCTGGTACCACAAAAACAAAATGTAAAACGTGAGAGCCAACAACACAATGTTTTTTTTTTTTTTTTCCTGCCCACAATAAACTCAATTCATCAGTAAAAACATACACACAGGGTACTCTTGTACATTGCTGGTGGGACTGCAAACTGGTGCGGCCAATCTGGAAAGCAGTATGGAGATTCCTGGGAAAGCTGGGAATGGAACCACCATTTGACCCAGCTATTCCCCTTCTTGGACTTTTCCCTGAAGACCTTAAAAGAGCGTACTACAGGGATACTGCTACATCGATGTTCATAGCAGCACAATTCACAATTGTTAGACTGTGGAACCAACCCAGATGCCCTTCAATAGATGAATGGATAAAAAAAATGTGGCATTTATACACCATGGAGTATTACGCAGCACTAAAAAATGACAAAATCATAGAATTTGCAGGGAAATGGATGGCACTAGAGCAGATTATGCTTAGTGAAGCTAGCCAATCCCTAAAAAACAAATGCCAAATGTCTTCTTTGATATAATGAGAACAACTAAGAACAGAGCAGGGAGGAAGAGCAGGAAGAAAAGATTAACATTAAACAGATACATGAGGTGGGATGGAAAGGGAGAGAAAAGGGAAATTGCATGGTAATGGAGGGAGACCCTCATTGTTATACAAAATTACATATAAGAGATTGTGAGGGGAATGGGAAAATAAACAAGGAGAGATATGAATTACAGTGGATGGGGTAGAGAGAGAAGATGGGAGGGGAGGGAGGGGGGATGGTAGAGGATAGGAAAGGTAGCAGAATACAACAGTTACTAATAGGGCATTATGTAAAAATGTGGATGTGTAACCGATGTGATTCTGCAATCTGTATTTGGGGTAAAATTGGGAGTTCATAACCAACTTGAATCTAATGTATGAAATATGATATGTCAAGAGCTTTATAATGTTTTGAACAACCAATAAAAAAAATTTAAAAAAAAACATACACACAGACTAAAAGGGATAGAAAAAGATATTCCACTCAAATGGAAACCCAAAGCATGCAGGAGTACCTATATTAGTAAAAAAATAGATTTTAAGTCAAAAACTGTAATATAGACAAAAACTGTAATATAGACACTATATAATGATTGAGAGATCAATTAAAAAAGAGAATCCAGGGGGATCCAAGATGGTGGGCTAGAAGGAGGATGCATTCTGTGTTGCTCCAGGACCTAGGATTCAAGTAGTGGGAATACTGTTTCTTTGCAAGTGATTAGAGGACCCCTGCCTGGGGCTTAGCAATATCAAGGTACCTAAAGTCCCCAACTCCCCTGTCCCTGTCAGCTGCTAACCTGGCATAGTGCCTGCAGCTACACGGTCCATAACTTGCAAAACCAGGCCCTAAACTGCCCAATATAAAACAACTCTCTGAGACAGGTGCACAGCCTCCAGAGTGCACCCAATAGACCTCCAGAGAGAAAGGTTCCTGACTGGGAAGCAAAAAGGGAGAGGGTGAGTGAGATACAGTTTAGAGACTAAATTAGAGACCAAGATTTGTGAGGTCTACAGGTGATATGAGGATATAAGACTAGGCGCCCACCCTACACGAACAGGCCCCAAAGGAGATCCTTGGGGTGCAGTCTCCCATTGAGGACCATCAAGTGCTATACCCCACCTCCAAGAGCTATGCCCCCAAGCCAAGGCTCCCACCTAATAACTTTCATCATCCTGAGGGTGGAGTTATCAGCAAACAACAGACAAACCCACCTATTGGATGAGAAGGGAAGCAGGAAAGACACTGATTTCCAACAAAAACAATTCTTGTATCTTCCTTGGAATTTTTTTTTCTCTTTCTCTTCTGCCGTCCTCACATCCCCAACATTTGTGAAACCAAGTACTTTTCATGAA